AACAATAACACAGACACAGAAGAGATGAATACTCCAGCGTTAAATGGAAATGAAGGAGTAGCACAGGATAAACAAGAATATAATGAAAGTCTTTTACTTCGAGGAAAGCAACAGCGTCCTCCCAACAAAAAGGTAAAAATAAATATATTTATATTTTTTGAAGTTTGAAACAAAAAGGACTTGAATTATGTGAATGATAATTGGCAAATTGCATATCAAAATAAAAAATTTTTATGAAATTTGCAAATTATAATGAAAATTGAAAAAGTGATGATAATACCTTATATGTAATTTCTATATAAGAAATGTGATATTCCAATTCTAGCAGCAGCCATCTTCTATAGCAGAGGCAATGATATTAGATACGGAAGCGGCTGTTATAGCGAATTTCGAATTTTTGCGTCACACAGATATGGACATGGAAGAAGAGGAAGGAGACGTAGAAGACGAAATTTATGATGCAAATACAGATACCAAACCAAATAAAGTAAATTTCCACTATTACTTTATATATTTATTTTATATCATTTAATTTCGTCATATATTTATTTATGACATGTGTATTTTATCAATATGATTTTTTCAAAGAGTTTCTAGGGTAAAAATTCAGAATAGACGAGCATCCTCCAATGACCTTGACATATGTTGTCAAGGTTATGACCCTGAGTGACCTCCAACAAGTTTCAGCCGTCGGTCGCCTTTCGTTAAAAAGTTGTTAACAGTGAGGCAAACACAAAAAGTTCTGCTATATAAAACAAAAATTCTCTCTTTTAAAATAAAAAAAAGAAAGTCGCTTATTCTTATTTATTATTATTTCATATGTACTTTGAGTATTTCTTTTTTAACTTAAAGATACATATTTGTTTATGTAAACTCTACTCCTTTTTTCGACTTTTTATGCGAAGCGACTTTTTTTTTAATTTTAAAGCAAAGAATTTTTGTTTTATATAACAGAACTTTTTTCTTCATTGTTAATTATTAACAACTTTTTAAAACAGGAAATTTATTTTAAAGCAGAGAATTTTTGTTTTGTATAGCAAAATTTCTTTTTTGTCTCACTGTTAACAACTTTTTAAAGCAGGAAATTTATTTTAAAACAGAATTTTTATTTTATGTAGCAAAACTTTTTTTGTTAACAACTTTTTAACGAAAGGCAACCGATGGCTAAAACTTGTTGAAGATCATTCAGGGTCATGACCTTGATAATATATGTCAAGGTCACTGGGGGATGCCTAATCTGAATTTTTAGCGTTTTTAGGATCGTACATGTGAACACAACAAGAAAGAAAAGAAAGCTTTTAACGGTCGAACTGGACCTTAAATACTCAAATAATTCTATGCGAATTTATATATTATCTATGTAATTGTTTAAATTGCATACTGAATTGATTTTTTGATGATTTTCTTGAAACGCAAATCGATTGAACTACAGTAGTAATGTCACAAATTAAATTGCTTAGTAATTTACTGATTTGATGCTCATAATCATTTTATAAAGATCTTAATGTTGGATAACATATTAAAATCTGTAAATAAGCTTATTGCGAAAAATATTACCTCGACCGGGAAATTCGAATCTCTAGCATTCTGTCTTTAGATCTGAGCATTCCAAGTCTTTAGATCACCGAAGCGGATATATTATTTTTGTTTTTGTTTTGCAGGCATCTATTCCTCTTCTAGCGGAGGATGTTGATACAGATGCAGAGGCAGAAGAAGTGTTAAACGAATTAAACCTTCTCACAGAAATTGAAGAATCACCGCCTGGTTCTATTCATTTGGAAATGAATTCTTCAGAATGGAGTAAGTAGTATCCATAGTAATTTATACATTTTTTAGATGTTTCTATATTTCGAAATCTCTGTCACATACATCTGTCATAATACTCATAATACAGAATGTGCTAAAATTCGCAATTCATAATACTATAGCAAGAAAATTTTTGAAAAATTACATAAAAAGATTATTTGTAAATTTTTATTTTAGATAGTAATTTTTGAAATAGTAAGAATTTAAATATGGTCAGTTACAAACTATATTTAGATGGCCACCTGCCCATGAGTTTATTAATAAACCAGTGAATACTGGTGAATGTGCACTTCAGCACACTCAATGTTTATAAATGGTTATCTAAACGTAAAGTCTGTAATTGACATAGGTACTTAAACTTTTATATCTCAGAAAGTATTCCTTAAAATAAAAATTTATAAATAATTTTTTTATTTAATTTTAAAAATTTTTGTTATATTAGGTGTAGTAAAAATAATGGATTTCTTTTTACTACACCTAATATTTTGAATCATTAATTTTGGGATACCTCGTATGCTTGCAATGTAATATATTTATAATATTGTTACGGTTTACGATTTACCAATCTAATATCTTCCCTGAAGATGCAGCATTACATAGAGGATTGCAACCAGATCCGAGACGCCCAAATAAAGAAGGTGATTCAACATTGGAATTAGGAGAATTAGAACAATTATGTGTTAACAACGACGCAGAAATATCATATGATGTAAGTTACCATAATCCTTCCTATGTCGCACAAGATTTGATATGATTCATTTATGTTCGTAATGCCGTTGTTTTATCCAACAGATGGTTTCCACCACAAAAGAGACGTTCAGGAAAACATGGAATGCGAAATATACGTTACGATCGCACTTTGACGCTGTCAGGGCACTCGTCTTCCATCCCACAGATCCAGTCCTCATCACCGCGAGCGATGATCATACGTTGAAGTTGTGGAATCTTCATAAGACTGTACCAGCGAAAAAGTTCGTAAATTTCATAAGAATAATTGTTTAATTGTAATATCTTATTTTAAAGATATATGCTATACTTATACATATATTGTATTTATTATTATATCCTTTTTTATCTTCTTGTAGGTCAGCCTCGTTAGATGTAGAACCACTTTACACATTTAGATCACACACTGGTCCTGTATTGTGTCTGGCCATGTGCAGTATGGGCAATCGATGTTATAGCGGTGGTTTAGATGGCAATATTCATTGTTGGACGCTTCCATCAGCTAACATTGATCCGTACGACTCGTATGAACCAAGTGTCCTTAGTCATACATTAACAGGACACACGAATGCTGTTTGGGGCTTGAGCATGTATTTTCGTACCATGTTGTCGTTTAGTGCAGATGGAACTGTAAAATTGTGGGCCCCACAGACCCCACAACCTCTTCTCAATACGTATGTTTCAGAACAAGGTACGCAAACGTTATCTAACATTTTAAACAACAATGTGCTATTAGATCATGATTAGCAAGTAGCAAATTGTGTTAAATTATGTTAAATTATAATATGGGACTTGTGTCTCGAATTCGCACAGCTTTATCTAGCAAATATTGATCAAATGTAAGTTCCTCTCTGTGTTGTACATTTTTAAGTGATTATTTGTCATAATAGTTTCTTTTTTCTTCTTTTATAGATGGTATACCGACTTCGGTTGATTTTATCAGGGACGATCCGCACAAGTTGGTCGTAGCTTATGAAGGAGCTTGCGTGGTATTTGATACTGAAACCGGCGCGATCGTGGCGCGACTCGAGGCGAACGAGACGAAAGGCGTGAATCGCGTAGTAGCACATCCTACGTTACCGCTCGTTGTAGCCGCACATGAAGATCGGCACATTCGATTTTATGATCACCGATCAGCTACTCTTGCTCATGCAATGGTAGCGCATTTAGACGCAGTTACTAGTCTCGCTGTAGATCCTCATGGTTTATATTTACTTTCAGGAAGTAAGTAAGAGAGAAAACGTATCTTGATTAATTTTATCGCAATAATTTCATAGCACAAAACTGTCAATCAAAATATAAATCTTAAAAATATCTTAAAAATAAAAAATATATACATTTTAAAAAGTATTTTAATGTACTTTTTATTTATTATTGCGTAGGTCACGATTGCAGTATAAGATTATGGAACATGGACAACAAGACTTGTGTTCAGGAAATAACAGCACATCGGAAGAAATTTGACGAAAGCATTCTGGATGTAGCGTTCCACCCATCACGACCGTTTATAGCGAGCGCCGGCGCCGACGCTCTCGCCAAAGTGTTTGTGTGAAATGTGTAAAATCCAAGATACACTCGCTACATCAAAATAATTTCTACTATTACATCAAATCGAGCAGTTTTTGTACTCGTATTCATTTTAGATAGCCTTATAACTTTATGTGTCACACCGTACATACGAAATACACACACACACACACACACACACACACACACACACACACTTCCGATATATTTCCGTTGTAACTTTGATTGTTCTACCATTTTCGAGGTATCGATTTATAATATAAAGAAATCAAATCGCTCGTGTAGTTATTCATAAAGAAAATGAAAAGAAATTATCAATAACTCTTGTCTGAGACACAGTTATGGGGGAAAAATAATTTTAAATGATATAAATGCTGCTTGTTGATGTTCGATCATCATAAAGTAGCTGATAATTATTTGGAATAGCGGGGAGGGGTATCATGTAGAATATTAGCCGATATAGTCCTGATAATTAGAGGAACCAGCCCCTTACCCACAGAATCCAGGAAGTACACTGCCGCGGTAGCGTAATATTTATCCTTATGTTAACTATTTATTACCAATATCGCCGTTACTGTTGCACAGCTACTGGGGATTAATACAATCGTAATAATCGACTATACAGTTGCCCTAAATGAATAAAAAAGTATATATATATATATGCATAATTAGTCTCCCATTACACATAATTTTTTCCTGCTGCCTTATATATTCATCGAGGCTAGCACATAGTAATGATAATGATGATAATAATAATAATCGTAAGCTAAATAGACGTAATATTAATAACAATAAATTATAATTGTGTGTTTCTCTCTCTGTAATATATTGTATTTAAAAATAGATAACTGTGTAACGTATTATAATGAACATTTTTTAATTAAAATCTCATTCCACATTAGCGAGTAAATCCATTTTCCATTATTGTAGTAAACGAACGGGTCATCGCAGCGATCGATCATGTTTCTCGAATGATAAAAATTTCATGCGATATGATCTTTTTTTTTTCGGTGCGGAAAAATGGCACGTAAAATTGGAGGGGGGAAGGGGGGCGCGTCTCTTAATATTATATCAGGGGAGGAAGAGGATAATCCTTATGAATGGTTTTCTTTAATGAGCGCGAAATAAACTGGAGTATGAATTTGTAGAATTATTTTCCCATTATTCTCGGGACAGAAGAACAATTCTATAAATTTACTTCACTCACCTTTCACTTTCCCATTTTGCGCATAATACCATCTTTCAGCGTACACATCGCGATTATTGCTATTTCAAAGAGAGAGACAAAAAAAGAAAGCACTCTTCCATTCAAGCACGATCGCGCTAATCAGCTGAAGCTGAATCGAGCTGAATACGATCAGCCATAAAATACAGATCGCGGGCGATCTCATGATTTCCCGTGATCCGACCGAACTGAGAACCGAGAACACAAATCAAATTGAGAGCCGTCGATGATCCCGAGAGAAATGACAAAGTTTTCCGTAGACGCGTGCACGCTGTGCCAGGCATGAGAGCTGGGTGCTTACTTCAAGTTCCTCGAGTGATTTGTTGTTCCACGCGCCTCGTAAGTTAAGTCCTCTCTGCAGTCTCGTCCTTCCATTTGCTTACGGAGGAAGTTCAGAGGAAGATAAGATTAATGAAACGACACGAGATTCTTGCTAGGAATCGTCGACAATCAAAAAATAAAATCATCTGATCCATCAAATTCTCAGACAGGTTATGTGAGACTCGTGCGAGTTTATCACTCGGAGACGCGCACTTCGAGACGTACGTTCGCGAATTATGGTACGTCCCGGTCCTTCGTGAGCGTCCCGGTGGCCTAACGATGGAACGGAACGGTGCTAGAGAAATGGAGGAGCGCCGATGCATTCGAGATACTGGAAGAGCCCTGAAGAAGTACGGAAGCACAGCCAAACATATGACGCGGACCGAGAGCTTGGTGAAGCATACAGTGTGCCCTACGGATACCCTCCAAGGAATAGCCCTTAAATACGGAGTTACGGTATGGTTCATCCATGTGCATTGTTTTCTCATTTATTTATCTTAATATGTTACGTTCATTTGCTACAACAATGACACAATTCTAAAACTACATATCATTATTTAGTTGCTTGTAGAAAAAGAATGAGAATGAAACGTTGTTATATTATAAATGAACAATGTATCTTTTGTAAAAGAATCCCATAGAAAATAAAGTTAGAAATGCTTAATACTTTTAAGGCTTCCACTTATACTTTCTATATAGAAGCTATGTGTTTCATGGGTTGTCTCTGTGTCCATATTTATTCTTGGAATAGATATGGACATAGAGACAACATTAGAGATACTTGTAATAAATCTCATAGCAATAAGATTATTTACATTATATATATATTATATTAGATTAGTGCATATTAAAAGCTGTTATACATGAAATTAGTAAACTTACAAACATAAAAGCATACAAACATTTTAAACGATTAAATATCTAATAATGATATTGTATATTTAACAGAATATACATATTTTATTTTATTCTTAAAATTTATTAAATTGTACTACATTTAGATACTTTATAAATCTGCTTTGACAAAAATTAGCATTCTTCCTCTTATTTGTGTTTAAACATTTCTTAATCTATTTCACCTAATGTAATTTATATAAAACCTTTAATATAAATGGATACACTTGCATTCCATTGATTTATGAAATAAGTGAGAAAGAAAAAAATCTACAAGAAAAAAAGAAGTCGCATAATACAGAGTATAACTTTTTTAATTGAACAGAAACTCAATGCATAAGTATTAATTAACATTTGTAATAAAACTTTAGGAAATTCATTTTAGAAAATCTTATTAGAGCAAAAACCTGAGTCTTGATTACTGTCCAAATTTGTTCATTATATTGTCAATGAATTCATCTAGTGTCAATTAGCGCTTGAATTTATATAATAAATTCTTTTGCATCCCCTGCAAATAATTCTGCCGACACCCATAGACACTTCATATTAACATTTTTTTAAATGTACTAATCTATATATTATAATGTGAGTGATCAAATTCACTGAAACGATTGCATTGAGAATTATAATAAATAGTACAAAATTTAGATTACTTCCGTCTCACCTTTCGTAATTCTATTGAGTTTTAAACTTCATTGAGAAATAAAATATTTAAAGAAAAAATATATATGTTATATTTTTTCCAATATATATATTACAGTTTTTATTTTATTGATTTGCTTGGAGATAATATTTTAATCAATACTTCATTTGCTCCAGATAAAAAATGTCTCTAATGTAAGATTAACGTTTCTAATTCTTACAGACAGAACAAATAAGAAGGATTAATAGATTATGGGCATCGGATAGTTTATTTTTACGGGAACATTTACTTATTCCTGTCAGCACAGACAGTCCCGCCTCTATGTGCAACGACGAATCGGCAGCTTCTGAGGAGCATGATGTCCCTCCAAATGTAAGTAAAGTTTCATGCTCAATAATTGTCACTTTATCCCTTGATACATATGTTTTATGAATATGTTGCATTTCATAGGTATCTAGTCCTTCTTCGATATCGTCATCTATTGACGATGAAGGTTCAGTTAATGATTTCTTAGCTAAGATGGACAGCTCGATAGCCAATGCCAAGAGAGACGTCAAACGCACTCAAGGGAATAGTGAGTAAGTTATTTTTTATGCCTTATATACATTCGATGAAACTTATATATTTTTTAACATATGTTTTATACAAAAAGTGATGATTTAATAAAAATATGAAAGGCGAGCTTATAGAAAATAAAAATTTCTCTCGAAGATCGGTATTCATAGTTCTTATATTTAAGACTATCTACAGTTTTAAGATGTAATAAGCCAACCACAAGCCGGTATTCATAGTTCGTTCTTACTTTAAGACTGTCTTAATTAAGATATTAAGGTAATAACTCTTTAAATTCTAAATAATATCTTTATGTCTGTAAATTATTTTTACAGATTTTGCACTGACGGTAATGATGTTTACGTACAACGACGGCGTGGGTCTGCTAAATTGCGAAACTCATTTCCCACCACATCGAATACCTACTCAACGTCCTCCTCTGACTCCATCAGACCAATGTCCTCTAGTGATATGCATAACTTTCCAACTGCTGTAGTTATGACGCAAGGAAGAAAAGTAAAGACTTCTTTGCAAAGACTCGAACAGCAGCAAGATGAGATGTTCCAGTTGTAGCGTCTAAGTTTCATTGGGCTGTAATATCCTGTGTGTCGATTGTTATTAAAAAGCTTGTAGGAAAGGATGTACTGTATATCAATGCGCGAATAGGAAGTTGCTTTTCATGTCTGACGTTGGTTGATCCAATATCACTATATTACATATATAGTTTAATTTAATTAAATTGCATTGCGCTTTTTTTACATTGAAATATCATTCACGTATCCCCTAGTTGATCTAAGCAATATTCTTGTATAATAATGATTGCACTATCGCCATATTCCGGTTTTACGACTTCTTCATCGTAATGATATCGTGAATGGATCAACTGACTTTTATATATACGTAGTGCTGAACTGTTTTACATAACATTGCTTAATGGACCATATGTGCCTTGAATATAAAACTGCGTTATATGAGAGTCCCATTCATGCTTCATTTTTGTCTGATTAAGTTATATAAAAATTTATATATATTTCTTTTCGAATATTTTATTTTATTTTATTCTTTTTTTTCGTTAAGTTTATGATGAATTACTTGAAAATTTGGCAAAAACCAAAAACAAATTAAAAAAAATTAATTATGTAGTGAAAATGAATAGTGCAAAACTATATATGAATAAAATATAAAATCTATTTATTTGAAACGCGACTTATTAAACTAATTGTTACACTTGTTAATAAAAATATATTTTATTTTGTCTCTTAGCAAACCCTACTATAAAAATTTTTTTCACAAGTGATAAAAAATATCATGTATACAATATTTTTCTAATATTAAATATATATAAATGTTGTCATTGTTTACAAGAATCCTAATAAAAATTATTATATCTTAAATTAAAGAAAAGAACAAAATACATCTATTATTAAAACATGGATTAATTCTTTCAATTAATTCTTAGCTGGACTAAGCTTTCTTTGACTAATATTGAATTCATTGTGAAGTGTGATATTACTACAGCACATTTTAAATAACATCTAATGAATTTGAATGTTCATTATAATCATCACAAAAAATCAGCGAATTTTTTACAAAATATATATATTATAATACAAAAAGTCACAGAGATCCAAAGAAACTAAAAAGAATTCACATTTTAAAGTAACGTTACAAATAATATTATTTAATGTCGCAAAGTGATGATTAAAACTAGAAATTATAGTAACAGGAACTTAATTTATAACAACGCTTCCATCTAAACACAATTACACATTGATATACATTGTACATCAAATCTATATATTCAAATTTTATACATAATCTAAAGAAATCCTGTATTTTACACTGTACATACAGTAAATAGCAGCACTGGTTGATAATGTTGTCTATAGTTAATATATCATGCAATATCATTGCATTTGAAAAGTAACTAAATGTAAATATGAATTAAATAAAAAAGATAAAAAGATATAAGTAAAAATTAAGATAGAAGTTTATATATGACTATATTTAGTAGATTGTGTCATTATTCATCACATAAACATAGTAAAAAATTAATTTATATATTAATCAAAATAAGTTATTATATGATTTATTTTACATAATATAAAAAAAAAAGATTTCTGCAAAAATATATTTTCCACGATTTCGCAAGCGTTATTTATGATGATAGTTCTTACAAATATATATTATAATATGTACACACGAAACAAAAAATGTATACATATATAGAGAGAAAGTTCTGTCTGGTTATTATTTTAAACTTTCGTATAATATGTCTACTTTAGAGTTAACTATCCTTATGGATGGCTTCACATATTTATCGCAGTAACATTTGAGCTCATTCACAAAGTTGAAAGATCCTAAACGATTGTTGCAGTATGGACAATATAATTTTCCCTTAGTCCAAGATTCCTAAAAAAAAATAATTATCTTGATTCATATATACATGTATTTTTAAAATTTTGATAAAGAAGGTATACTTGATTGATAGCATCCATAATCCAATTTGGTGCATTCTCGGGAATCATATATGAGCAGCAATCGGATTCATCCGCTTGACATCCTACATCCATTTGTTGTTTTACCTCATAATGTGCATTAAACAAAATAAAATCATCCTTGAAAAGCGATTTACAACAATGCTTGCATCTTACTTCCATTATACAAAGACAGCGATACGAAGAATATCTGAAGAATTATTGTTATTATTATCGATTTCATTGAAAGTGATTGATGAGAATGTTATAAAATGTCAGATAAAAATAAAAAAATAAAATGATAAAAAACTGATAGTTACCAAAGTTCATAAAGTATGTTAATAACTCCGCTATATATAATTATTCTTTTATAATGAATTTTTTAATAATATATATTATGATCAGAATATATGTTCCTCGAAGTTACACTTCATATACAATTAAAGTAAAAAAGAAAGAAATACAAAATCGCAGAAAACATCTAAATCAAAGCCTATGAACTTGTATTTAAGTTGCAATAGAAACATAACCTAAACTAACCTATATACCTTAGTATAGGCACATAGCTATATGTATCTAATATTGACACATTATGCACTATGCACTGTTTGCAAGAAAAATTATGTTATTTATCATTTAGAAGGAAAATTTTTTTATACATTTCACATAGAACGACAAAAAATATTATAGTTATACATAAAAATATAATTTTTTTATCTTAATAGGATAGGAAATAATTTGATAGACAATTTTAGTAAACAAATTTATCATGTATTGCGTGTCTCACTATCGCTGATATCAACGTGAAAAGAAATCCACTATATACTTATTTTCTTTAATTAAAAGTTTGCGGAATACAAGCGGTGAAAATACATGCCTCATGTCCATTTTTACTAATATAGATTAACTTTCATTCAATTCAACTTGTTTTAGATTTTTTCTAGTTTTATCCTGGTGAAAATTTTTCTCATAATTTTTATACAAACTCGAATACTTTTCAGAAATATTGAGAAAGTCTGTATCTCTTCTTAGAATTTATCATATAAAATATAGATTCTAAGAATTTTGAAATATTCTTATTTCATTCTGTAATTTCTGAAGAAGTATTTAAAAATTTTTAGATTTGATAAGATTTTATTAAAAGTTGTAAAAGGAGAAATATTAGAATATTTCAGAATTTACATATATGAAAAATTTTAAAAAAAGATACTTTTTCAGCATTTTGAAAAGTGTTTCTAGAAGCTAAAAATTTCTATAAAAATTCTGAAAAATTAAATGAAATATTCTGAGAATTTTCACTAGAATAAGGATTACAAAAAAATAAAATGTGAGAGAAACCAAGATTAAAGTTAATCTACATTGATAGAAATAATTGTTACAATCTTAAATTTAAAGATACAATATATTTTAATCATTAAAACGATATATACGATATCACAGATATCGTTTGCACACATTTACGTAATGGATACATTCAATCTTCGCCAGCTGGTATTGCATCTTCTAACCTTTTAACAAATTTCACACGTAATTCGGTCAAATTGTCGTTCTTAAGCTGATCCTGAATAAACCAGCAGACGATTTCCATTTGCACCATTTCACAGGCTCCTCTGAGCACGCCAGGCAATATATTACAATACTTGAGATTCGAATAATTATCCGGTAATTCCACGAATTCTGTTAGTGGATTCGTTTCGAAGCATAGAGAGAATTCGTCACCAGCCGGGCTCCAATTCGTAATCGATGGCATTATACCTAGGAATATCTTGAAGCCACTCTGAATCTTCTCCGCCGTATCTCTGAAATCATAGCATCGGCCGGAGCCAGTCCTTGCAAGAAAATCCTCTATCAATCGTATTCCAATGTTATAACCCATTCTTTCCAGTTGTTTGTTAACGTCCTCTACGTTTTCATAGTCCTGGAGCAACTGAGCCACAATCGAACCATAAGTTAGGGTGAACAATTCAGAGTTCTGTAACAAAAAAAGATGAAAAAAGTAAATCAATTTAATCCTTTGTACATTGTAGTAAATTAAAAAAAAGATCTCAAAAAAGATATCGTTATAAATTTGAGTAATTTAAAAAATTACGAATTTATAATTTTGACTGTTTGATAGTTGTAATGTTGTAATGTAAAGATATATCCTAATATGCCGGGTCTACAATGAGTCTGTAGTCGGAAGTTTTAATCGGTGAATTTGGCCAATCAGCGTTAGTTATACACGTTGATTATTGGGCAACTTCACCGATTAAGTTTAAAACTTCCGACTACAGACTCAATGTAGACGCGACAATAGTCTAAAAGATATATGAAAAAGAACACATGACAGACCATAACCTCAAGACTCCATTCAATACTAATCTTGTATTCGAAATGAATAAGAATTTTTTAAGCAGATTATTAACGGCGAACCGATATCACATAATAAATATTTCATATAAAATAGTGCAACACTTGCCACTTTCTTTGCATCAAGTTTTGTTCCTGTTCGTGACATGTTGATAATTGATTATCTTCTTCTTGCTTAATTGCTTAATAGTTCCTGTCAGAGCTGTCGGAACTGCCTCCTGTTGAAAATCGGAGACAATACGGCCAGACTTTATCCATGTAGAGGTCGCAGCTCGCAGCAAAACTGTGGCAGGTGACTATCGTGAGAACGAAAACTCCGAATTGGGATCTCACCAACTCCGATTAACCTAATCGGTCGATCAATTGTGATTAGTCAATTCTTCTGAACAGCAAATGCGATTGGTTAGTTCCAAACGAGCTTGAGTTTCAGGATCAGGACAGTTAAAAATAACGTGGAGAAAGTCTTAACATTGATGACTACACGTGTAGCTAAGGTCCTTGATTAAATTCTTGCAAAAGAGACTGTGATTTAAACTAAAATAATTGCTGCGGAAGGTAGTAATCATAATCGGCAATAAATGCATGTGTTCTTTCTGAATAAAACCAAGAAGCAGAGCTTCTTTGGCTGATAATAATGTGATTAAAAGTTAAAAACTTATTTAACATTTTTTTTATTTTAGTGTTTTTTTATAATTGAATTTTTTAAAATATACATTTTGCTCCTTTTTATTATTTATTTCTGAGAAAATATATCTAATATTTAATAGTACTCTCAACAATTAAGTTGATAAAAACTGCAGTACAATAGGAAAAAATATAACATATTTTTTTTTTAAATATTTCATTTTTTGACAAGTTTGCACGTAAAGGGCAGTAAAATTAAGGGAGGCAAGACAAAAGTGTAATATAAGTTTCGTACTATTTATTATGATCTTTGATATGATCGCTTCAGTGAGATTTGCTACAAGTGCCCCTGACTTTACTTTCTATAGGATTATCCTCAAATATATCTCTAATAATATCGCGTTTCGGTTTTGAGTGCGCTGGTAAGCCGCGATGTAGATTCTCCATTATCTGCATTCTATTCACATTATGATCCTTGAATTCTTGGCTGAGGAATTCGATATTTTCGTTGTCATCGATAGCTTTCATTGTGGCCAACAGCTTTTCTTTGTTGTAATTAATTGTTCTTTTCTTTTCATTTGTTTGTTTTACCTGTGCTATCTCGCTCTTTGCGCCATTATTCTGTTCAGTCCGAGATACATCAACGTTTAATGTAGCGTTCAATTTATTTTGTGTTTCTATGTTGGTACCAGGTTTATCTGATGTTTCTTCATCACTGCAGCGCATTATACTGGATTCATCTTTAAGCTTAAAACATTCTTTTTCCAAATTATGCACAGGTCGAATCCTCCCATCCAAATGATTTATCATAGATTCCTTTCCATAAGCTTCCTGTGAATCCTTCTCAACCTTCTTCCTTTCCAATATCGATAAATTTTTCATTTCTTCATATATTGCATTGTCTGTATCATGATAAACCTTATCACATTTCATGTCAGCATATGCTGACTTTTCTTCCAAGTATCTTATTTCTTCTTTTTTTATGCAATCTTCTTTTTGCATATCTGTGGAAGAGTCATCTATTTCATTACTTTCCAATAGTTGTCCTTTGTCTAGCCATGTTCTGTTTAAATTTGAAGATTGTTGAGGAACTTCTACATTTTCTAAACTTACATCATCCGAAGTATTATTAGATATTCTCGGTAACTGTGTATCCTTTAATCTCCCAATAGACTGTTTTGTGATGTCCAAAGCATTGTGTTCTAAATAAGCGACACCATTAAAAGATTTACTGAACTGCTCTTTAGCGAACTTAGATAAACTGGTTTGAAAATCATTGCTTTTATATTCAATGGGAGAATCTTCATTCATATTTATCTTTCCTTCGGAATTAACGTCATCTTCAGAATCGCTATCATAAAGATCATTTTTTCTATGATGTAATAATTTTGTTTCACTCTTGTGGTTTTGAAACGTTAAATTTTCCATTAGACACGTGCTTAACTCTTCTTCCTCCTCCTCATTGCTGTCTACCTTTTTCATTATATCATCCAAAGTATCATCTGTACTGTTAATCAGTCTATAACAGATGCAAGAGTAAAAAATCAGGAGATCGTTATATTAATTAGACACAGAAAATAAATATACTATTACATAAAAAGATTTAATTGTATAACGTTGCTTTATATGATTTCTTATAAAAAATATAATTTTGTAATATACATACCTTACATACAATTCTCTAGATTTTTGTGGAGTATTATAAGATTGATTGTAATATTCACAAGCGTTTCCACTTTCTCTATCATCAGATAAATAATCTCCATCATCAAATTCAGCTCTTAGTTCTTTCTGTAATTTTTGTGTATTCTGATTTTTTATTCTACTAAATAATTTTCTTAATTTGCCACTTTCACCTTGATCATTATTTAATTCATCTCTCTTCAATATTGATTTATAATTTATCGATATGATTTTTTCATCATTATGCGCACTCATTTCAGAATCCTTTGACCTAAATCTTAAGTCATCCATAGAATGAGCATTTTTATGCATGTGTGGCGATCTTTGTAAACGAAACTTTCGTATCTGTTGCAAACTTGCCATTGTTTCTGACTTTAACTGATCTACCGATTGATTAACATTATTTGGCTGAGTTACTTTTTCATCATCATTGGATTCCAATATGTCAAGTGACGGCTATAATTACATTAAATTTATAGAATCTTTCTTAATGCTTAATTATGTTTAATCGCATATAAATACAAACTCACCAAATTATCCTTTGGTCCATTTTCACTCCTTTTACTTCTGTTAGACGATTTAATTGGATTAGAGATGCTAAAATACAGAGCTTGCATATAAATACTTTTTATATTATAAGAAAAGATGTATACATATAATTTTTATACCTGAGATTTGTGAGAGAACGGCTACCTAGATTTTTTTCTTTGTTATAAATTGGTAATTGACCATTATAATATAATCTCTTTTCTCTATTATCTAATAAACATTCTAAACTTTTCAATTTCTCTATTGTCTCTTGTAAATTCTTTTGTGTTTCTTTATGTTTAGAAATCTCGATGTGTAATTGATGCTTCAAGCTTTTAGTTTCAAGGGTAAGTTTTCTGTGTAATAGCTGCAAAAAGATATTTCAGCTAAAGCTGCAGTTTTGGAATATAATCTATTTTATTTCTGTTATTCTCATATAAATATAACTTTTGAAAATAAATGTTGAAAGTTACCTGAATAGTTTCTTGTTGTTGTTGCATTTTATAATTCATGTCAATTAATTGTAATTGTAATTTTTCTCTCTCTTCGAGATTTCGATCTTTACTAAGTTGCAATAGATGCTTATTTTGTGACTATAAAGGAAAATGTTCGGAAATTCATATGAATGTATATTAAAAATAAAAATATAATATTATACAGGAATGTATTAATTGAAAAACTCACATTCGCAGAATAAAGTTCATTTTCTCTTTCTTTCAACAAATTACATGTATCCTTGTGTAATTCTTTTAATTTTTTATATTTTGTTTGAAGTACTCGCAATTCTTCGTGATGCGAATTTATAAGCCTTGGTAACTCGGCATTTGCTCCTTCATAACGCCTTAATGCAGAATCTTGTCTTTTTTGTAATGCTTTTAATAATCTGTTTTCATTTGCTAGTTCCTTAAAAAACATAAAGAAATTATTAGTTTCATGTTAAAAAAAAAATATCTTCAGTATTAAGTATATACGTCAGCATATTTTCTATACTTACATTGAGATGATAATGTGCATCAGCTAATTGATTTTGTAACTGTTTAAAACGAAGCATTTTCGCTGACATTACCCTTTGCCCAAGAATACTTTTATTACCGGATTTTGGTTCATCTGACAGCAATTGTTGTTTCATAGAGCCTCTATATGGCGCACCTACTTGAATATATTCAATATATATTATAAATTTTTTAAATAATATATATGTGATAAGATTATAAACAAGCAGGTATTTTAATAATCCTTATACAAACCGAGCAAGGGATTTAAGCATTTTTTACTCGATGGAAATAATGTATTTCTACAAGGAGACAACTTTTTGGATTCCAGTATTGCAGAGTCTTTTGAAGGTTTTGCTTTTCTATAATTTATATATATATTTAATGTACATCATATTTAACAGATAAGATATTAAGTTTTAAACTAAAGTAGTTAAAAATATAAAAATGCATGTATTAAACCTTATAACATTTCTTATATCTCCATCTAATATTACATCATAATTTATATGATACTTTCAAAGTTTGATTTACCTAGTGATTGTTCTGTGCACATTAAGTTGTACTACTGGTAAAATAGAAGTTTCAGTTTGCATTTTATATTTATACGCAGCGTATTATAACTCGCATTGTAATTGCGTATAATCCATCTTTATAGTCAAATTGTCAAACACTCATTGTAGGCTAGTCGGCGACCATAATTGTTTCAAATGGTTGTCAAGGCAACATCCGTGAAAGTATTAGTAAGCAATGCTTTTTCAAAATGCTTTTCTAAAATGAAATAAATTTAAGGCTCTTGAGTACTTAACTCAGCTATATTGAATCGTAACGTCATAAGCAAGAAACGATCCGATACATTAATTTTTTTTGTATGCCACATATAAAGAGAATTTAGATGAAACAAAATATTGAAATCGTTTTAAGCTTTATAAATTAGGTAAAATAGGGCAATAGGAGTCAGGCGCGGTAATTGTTGCACAAAACAAACAATGGATACGACATAAATTACATAATCTGCTAGCGGTTTCTAATAAAGAGTTTTGTGTTATATCCATATTGTTTGTTTTGTGCAACAATTACCACGCCTGACTCTTATTGCCTGATTCATATTTTATTTTATTTCTTTGTGATTAATAAGGAGTCTTTGCGAATCATTGAAAATTGTGTATTGACTTCTTTGTTCTGCTTGATACATGATTTTATGTTTAATTTTTATTGCATATTACACATAGGAATGTATTATTTCATATTATTACAAAGTGTAATTATATAATTATATAATAATAATAATAATAATAATAATGAGAGAGAGAGAGGGGGGGGATACTTATTCAGATATATGTACATAATAGAAGGCTTGTAATAAGATTACGAGCGTAACATTTGTTTATTTAATATTAATATGTACACTGACTTTGTAACAAATATTGTCACTTATCTTTAATACTTACATTTGTATATACAACATATAAATGTAATACAAATGGTTGA